AGTTTTCCTATTTTAGTCAAAATAACTATTGAATGTGTAAGCCAAAAAATATATCTGGATCTTGGCATGTTATTTAGAATAATGTTCTAGTATGTTTCTGTTCCCCCCACCCCCAACACTAAATAAACTAAATGGCAACTACTAAACAATCAGACATAATGAGGTCAAGTTTCTCTGTGATGCACAGTCTTCTAAGTTGTTGCGAGTTCAGAGGATAAGAACCACCAGTGGTGAGTGAGAAGGGATTTATATATAATATATATATATTATATATATATATATATATATATATATATATATATATATATATATAAATTCCCTTCTCACCCACCTCGGGTGGTTCTTATCCTCTGAGCTCGGGTCCTCTACCAGAGGCCTGGGAGCTTGAGGGTTCTGCGCAGTATCTTGGCTGTGCCAAGGACTGCACATTTCTGGACTGAGATGTCTGATGTTGTTCCTGGGATCTGTTGTAGCCACTGCTCCAGTTTGGGGGTTACTGCCCCGAGGGCCCCGATGACCACAGGCACCACTGTGGTCTTCACCTTCCAGGCCCTCTCCAGTTCTTCCCTGAGGCCCTGGTATTTCTCTAGTTTCTCGTGCTCCTTTTTCCTGATGTTGCAATCACTTGGTATTGCTACATCTACCACAACGGCTTTCCTCTGATGTTTATCCACTACGACAATGTCTGGTTGGTTCGCCATTACCATTTTGTCTGTCTGGATCTGGAAGTCCCACAGGATCTTAGCTCTGGCGTTCTCCACCACCTTTGGGGGTGTTTCCCACTTTGATCTTGGGGTTTCCAGTCCATATTCTGCACAGATGTTTCTGTACACTATGCCTGCCACTTGGTTATGTCGCTCCATGTACGCTTTCCCTGCCAGTATCTTGCACCCTGCTGTGATGTGCTGGACTGTCTCAGGGGCCTCCTTGCACAACCTACACCTTGGGTCTTGTCTGGTGTGGTAGATCTGGGCCTCTATTGCTCTGGTGTTTAGGGCCTGTTCCTGGGCGGCCAGGATGAGGGCCTCTGTGCTGTCCTTGAGTCCAGCTTTTTCCAGCCATTGGTAGGATTTACTGATATCAGCCACTTGGGTTATTTGCTGGTGGTACATCCCATGTAGGGGCTTGTCCTCCCATGATGGTATCTCTGGCACCTCAACCTCCGTTCCCTGTTGTCTGAGACATTCACTGAGCACATTGTCTGTTGAGGCTTTGTCCCTGATGTATTTATGGATCTTAGTTGTTTCGTCCTGGACAGTGGTTCTCACACTCACTAGTCCTCTGCCTCCGTCCTTGCGGCTCGTGTACAGTCTCAGGGTGCTGGATTTGGGATGGAACCCTCCATGCATTGTTAGTAGCTTTCTGGTCTTAATATCTGTGGCTTTTATCTCCTCCTTTGGCCAGCTAATTATTCCAGCAGGGTATCTGATTACTGGCAAGGCATAGCTGTTTATCGCACGGATTTTGTTCTTGCCATTGAGCTGGCTTCTCAGGACTTGCCTTATTCGTTGGAGGTATTTAGCTGTGGCTCCTTTCCTTGTGACCTCATCGAGGTTGCCATTTGCTTGTGGTATACCTAGGTACTTGTAACTGTCCTCTATGTCTGCTATTGTTCCTTGTGGGAGTGAGACTCCTTCTGTGCGGATCACCTTCCCCCTCTTTGTGATCAGCCGACCACACTTCTCTAGTCCGAATGACATCCCAATGTCAGTGCTGTAGATCCTGGTGGTGTGGATCAGTGAGTCGATGTCTCGCTCACACTTGGCGTACAGCTTGATGTCATCCATCAGGTGACTGATATTGGCCCCATTTTTGAGTCTGTATCCGTAGCCAGTCTTGTTGATAACTTGGCTGAGGGGGTTCAGGCCTATGCAGAACAGTAGCGGGGACAGAGCATCTCCTTGGTATATGCCACATTTGATGGACACTTGTGCAAGTGGTTTGCAGTTGGCTTCAAGGGTGGTTTTCCACAGCCTCATCGAGTTTGCAATGAAGGCTCTCAGAGTCCTGTTGATGTTATACATCTCTAAGCAAGTCCAAGTATCCAAGTATGCGGCATTGAGTCATAGGCTTTCTTGTAATCAATCCAAGCCATGCACAGGTTGGTGTGTCGGGTTTTGCAGTCTCGGGCAACTGTGCGGTCTACGAGGAGTTGGTGTTTGGCTCCTCTGCTATTTACACCGATACCCTTCTGTGCCGTGCTCATGTGTTTATCCATGTGTTTTGCTTATCTTGGCCGCTATGATGCCTGACATGAGCTTCCAGGTTTGTGGAGAGGCAGGTTATTGGTCGGTAGTTTGGGTGGGACTGGACCCTTTGATGGATCCTTCTGGATTAGGATTGTCCGCCCTTCAGTTAACCATTCAGGGTGAGTCCCACTTTGTAGCAGCTGGTTCATTTGGGCTGCCATTCGCTCATGGAGAGCAGTGAGTTTCTTTAGCCAGTAGGCATGGATCATGTCAGGCCCTGGTGCTGTCCAGTTTTTCATACCTGAGACTCTTTCTTGGACATCTGTCACAGTGATGGTTACCCGGGCTTGCTCAGGGAGGTTGCTGTGGTCCTCTCGTAGATAGATCAGCCACTGTGCATTGCTGTTGTGGGACGCCTCCCTTTCCCATATGCCTTTCCAGTATTGTTCAGTCTCCAGCCTTGGTGGGTCTGCTCTGTTGTTATTGTTACCCTGCCATTGAGAGTACACCTTAGCTGGTTGAGTGGAGAAGAGCCGGTTAATCCTTCTGGATTCATTCTCCCTTGTGTATCTCTTTAGGCGGCTGGACAAGGCTTGGAGCCTCTGTTTGGCAGTCTCGAGTGCTTCAGGTATGGGCATCTGCCTGTACTTTCTGGGTACTGGTCTTTTCATTGCACCCTTGTTGAGCTCTGACCTTGATTTTAGCCTCTAACCGTCTTTTCCATGGTGGGTATTGGGTCTCATGGTTGCTCTTATAGCCAAGTATCTCAAGGATCACTGATGCTGAGTTGTAGATCAGCTCATTGGTTTCTGTTATGGTGTTGGTAGGGATCGTTCTCAATGCTGCATTCACATTCTCAATGAGACTTTCAGATGGTACTTCACTCAGCCGTTGTAATTGGCGCCGGGGAGGCCTGGTTGTCATTCGGGTCATGATTCTCTCTCTCAGGTCAGCAGCTGTCTCGTTCAGCTCTGTTTCGCTCATTGGGGCCGTGTATCCCCTCACTGGGTGGGGACTTGTAGTTAAGTCCCCACAGTCCTGACATCCGGGTTCCTCCCTTTTGCCGTAGCATTTGTGTTGTATCTCGTCAATCTCAAGTTGTGATAGCAGTTGCCGTTTGCGGATGTTGGAACACTGAGCTACTAGTTGTTTAGCGCTTAGTGTTGACTGGGGATGTCGAAGTAACCATTCCTTCCCCAGTCTTTGCATGTAACCTCTCTCACTAGGGTTACTTGAGTAGTAGCATTCCAACATATCCACATTTTCATCTCTCGCCCATTTCCGTCTTGTTCCAGTAGCCCATTTGTCATCAAGGTGCTCTGGTTCCCCAACACCTGACGCAGACCTTGTTTGGCCGGGCGACGTCTGAGCCGGCATGTTATGCAACTTAGTATCTCTCATGGTATGAGGTAGGCAGTAGCTTGAAGGGTCTTGCCTAAGGACCCAGACTGGATTCGAACCCTGCCCTCTCGGGTGATATACTGATGCCTTATGTATTGAGCTATCCAGTCAGCTATATATATATATATATATATATATATATATATATATTATATATATATATATATATATATATTATATATATATATATATATATATATATATATATATATCTTTGCATGTAACCTCTCTCACTAGGGTTACTTGAGTAGTAGCATTCCAACATATCCACATTTTCATCTCTCGCCCATTTCCGTCTTGTTCCAGTATATATATATATATAATATATATATATATATATATATATATATATATATATTATATATATATATATAATGATAATAAATATATAATAATAAAAGGTATTTATTATTATTAGTCTTTGGTGCAAAAACTGATTGAAAGTCAATTTATTCACTGCATTTTTATGTCTGCTAAGGTTGAGATGGCTCTTTAAACTTTTCGAACTACAAACACAACAGGGACACAATTAAAACTGTGGGATGACTTATTACCCAGCGATAATAACTCAGAAATAGTCCAAATTATGATGTTTTTTTTCTTTTCTACTTACAGAACGTTTCTGTTTATATCATAGATTTTTGGTGCCCATCTATCCTAAAGAAAAAGTTATAAAACTTCAGATATTTTACATAGAGATATTAACATTCATGGAAAAACCTCACATAACCTAATATTAAAGCAGAAAGTATGGCAGCTACCACAAAAAAGGCTTACAGTATTCAATTATGCCGCATAACTGATCAGTACATTATTGTGAGGGGACGCAAAAGTAAAAAATGTCCTCATGTCCCCAAGGGGGCTCTGTACCCTTTGAGCTTTTTTGATCTATAAATCAGTCTGCAGCCAAGTAGTCGTTAAATAAATATTATTAAGGCTTAATTAGTAAAATGGCAGCAAATTTACTTGGGCCTACATATCCACGCCCAGGTCCAACCCACATATAGTCAGCCCATGCTCATGTCATGTGGGTTCAATACATTTAGCCCAAATGGGCCAGCCCATATGGGTCCCATTTTAGGTTAACCATGCAGTTTGCTCAGATAAAACCCATGCCCACTCATTAGCCCACATCAAACCCAAGTGGGGCCCACTCATGCATGCTGGCTGGTAATGCGGCTTCTTGAATACTCAGTCTTTCTGCTTCAATATAAGAGTTTTGTAAGGCTTTACACGCTCGTTTGTGAGATATCTGAAGTTTTTCTTTCAGATACAAACGCACCACAAACTTAGATACAAAATCCTTGTGATCAATAAACTTTCAGTCACTATTCTGACACAAACAGTTCCCATAAGAAGGAAAGAAAGAAAAATCCAAGTAATGTTGCCACAGAAGGCGCGTCTGTAAACCACGTGACCTGCCAAGTTAAGCCCCGCCCCTCATTGAAGACACGGACAGACCGTTCTAAAAAGGAAGGACTGCATCGAGAGAACAATGGGAGTTGACGTCGAGACTCTTAGACCCGGGGACGGTAAATATTTTCATTTCGACTTGTTTTAGGATAGCATGCGATTTTCAGTCGGTGCTGAATCGGAATAAAATGTGGGCTTTCATTTGCAGGAAAGACTTTTCCGAAGAAAGGGAGCAAGGTCGCCGTGCACTACGTCGGTGAGCTTTGTTTCGTTTCTCGCTCCTCAAATGATTTAAAAAAACGACCATTCACTTTGAATATGACAAACGGTCATATCGAGTGGGAATCATACCACCAAACGGAAATATTCTCTTGAGTCTAACTAGAGAAACTGAGGCTAATAACAAGCTAATGGCCCAGCTAGCTTAGCTTAGCATAGCACGTAGCCAGGAAACACGGGGGCAGATGGCCCGACTCCCCTCTGAAAATGATATAAAACTATGCAAATTCCCCGACATTCAGAACTAGCTTCCTGGTAATTACAAAACGACAATTAATTCGAGCACTAAAACGAAGCCGAGAAAGAGCATCCTCTAATTTTTCCCTCTGTATGTGCTAAGTATGCTAACCATTCACTGACAGCACCTTCATGTTTAATGCAGGCGTGTCCATGTCGTTAAACGTCAGACTGACTGCTAAGACTTCTCTATCATTTAGCTTAGTCTTGTATAAATATTAGACAGCATATTGTAATTTTTTTTTTCTTTTAACAGGCACGCTGACAAACGGGAAGAAATTTGACTCCTCCAGGGACCGAGGAGAGCCCTTCACGTTTAAAATTGGAGCTGGTGAAGTTATTCGCGGCTGGGATGAAGGTGTAGCTCAGGTAGGAAGAATTAGAAATACAAATGAAAATATTGACACATCAGACTGAGAATAAAAAACTGGATTTGCTTTTGATGTGGTGGTCTTTCTGTGTTCAATTCAATAGCAAGCAATGATTGCACTGTAAAACATTGTGCAACCACCACAACATTGAAAGGCTGAGAGATTTGTCAATAAGCTTTCATGTTTTATAAGCTTTTCTAAATAATGGTTGTGCTTTTCACTGTCATGAAACTCATTTTTGACCCATTTCTAGTTAATTAATAGTATTCAGCTGAAAAGCCAGTGTAAAGATGTCAGAGTAAATATCTCCATCTTGGATTTTATTTATCCTATTTAGCATATAGAAAACTGAGACTTTGGGAATAAAATATGTGCATCGCAAAATTACCCTCTTATTTCATAGTGATTTATTTGAACATAAATTGAGATTATATGAAAAAATAATTTTAATATTATTGAGATTTCAAGCCAGATGATAATCTTACCTCTTTTTTTTACCTATTGAATAATCAAGAAAAAAGGGATATTGAGGGATATTCTTACTTAAGATTTTACATCATTTCTCTTTCCACTACCTCCACAGATGAGCGTTGGCCAGTTGGCCAAGCTGACCTGCTCTCCGGATTTCGCTTATGGATCCAAAGGTTATCCACCCGTCATCCCTGCAAACGCTACCCTCATCTTTGAGGTTGAGCTCCTGAAATGCTGAGTTTTTACACTGAAAGCTATTCCAGAGTATTGTTTTTTGGGAATTTGTTTTTTTTTTTTTTTCCTGTCTACATTTTTCACAAATGGTTCTTTAGTGAAATGGTAAATGAATTGTACTTGTATAAAGCTTTGTTAGAAATATGGAATCAGAAGCCTATTCTCACACAATGACCATCATGCTAATGACAACTGTGCTATATTGGTGCTAATCTAATTCTCAGGCCCATGAACTTGAAGTGAACATTGGATCAATCTGGCTTCATTATTTATTTATTTTTTCCCCTTAAACCCAAATGATATTGACATTCCCTGTTTTTTAAAGTAAATATAACAGACCACAAGTAACAGAAATGGTGCAGTACTGATAACTTGGACCATGCAAAAACACACACTGGGAATGTAACACGGTTATCCTGCAAAGTTTAGACAAAGGGATTTTATCTTAATTTTATGATGTTTCATATTTGATCATAAAGACTAACAAATATATACTGGTCCTTCTATATAAATTTATTCATCAATGTGCTTGAAGCAACCGATAAATAAAATTTGACTGGTTTCCAAAAGACTATATATATTCTTTTTAAATTAATTCATTCACATTAAATCAAATAAACTAAAAGCACATGGGTGAGAAAGTGCAAGTGACACAAAATACAATCTTCTCACGAAAGCTTTTTTTTTTTTCCACGTGATTTTTTATTTTTAAGGTTTTTGTGCTTCAAAAAGTAGTATGGTGTTAAACTGACCTTAACATTTTTAGTGAAGTGTGGTTTTCTTTTTTTCCCTTGCAGTAGAGTTGTGACTTTATTTTGCACATTAAAGCAATGAATCAATAAGAATTAACTCACTCAGAGCTTGTGATTAAAGTGGTTGCCTTTTGTGTTGCTTTTTCCAGTTTAACAAGTATTCACATGATTTTTTGAAATGTTTCAAGTCTGCTTTGGGGTTGTGTTAAGTCACAGTGAAAACACTTCATTTTTATTTTGCAATGCTCTTTTCCTTTTCAGTGTAACCCATTAAGTCTGATTAAAACCAGAAATCTGTATGATGCTTCCTTGTCATGTATTTAATCAAATAACCAAAGTGAAGTATGCTTAATTATTCAAAGTTTAAAAAGTTTTGAAGGAAACCCAGCAGATTGCAACAGTCATTGACTTGCAGCATTCACTCCTGGACAAGCACATAGTTAATCACTTGCATTGTTGACTTTACATCTTATCCCTCAGCGATTATGCATGTAGCGACAGTGGAGAGGAAAAACTCCCCTTTAACTGGAAGAAACCTCCAGCAGAACCTGGGTCAGTACCAACAACCATCTGCTAATGTGAACAGGGGGTTGTGGCTCACAGTTTTTTACTTTTGAAAAAATAAAATTTGTGTTTTCAGAATGAATACATGAAATATAAAGTATTACACTAGATTGTACTCAATCTTGGTTCACTGTTTAAAAAGTTTTTGAGTCTATTCCAGACTTTTTACCACTGCACTCTAAATAGTCCTGATAGCTTATTAAAGTGTAGTTGATGGCAAGGAATATTTGATGTCAATAGTTTTTTTTTTTCTTCAATTGTTCTGAAGATTTATGTCTGTCAGCAGAATCAGCTCCTCAGGAGGACAGGGTAGAGGGTATTTTGGAGTTTAGATTTTGTTTTAATCACCATCTTTTGAAGAAGTTAGTAAGTATATCCTGGTCATAATAAATAAAAGAACTCTGTCTCTACTTGTATGCCAAATGGTTGCTCCAGATCTGCTCAAATTGTCCACAAAAGAGTTTGGCAGGAAAACTGAGTACTTGAAACAAGAACAAGGGTTAAGAAATATTTGGAAATAAAATGGTTCTGAATAAATACATCAGAACAACTAATTTGAAGCACCTTTTGGAAAATTAAAGAACGTGATATTTGAAACAGTAACCCGATTTACCCTGTAGGAATCCAAAATTCAAGTAAAGCTAAAGTAACATTTTCTAAAAATTCCCACACCACCTGAACGCCACGTTTGCACGGCTTTGGAGTCAGGACATCCGCATCACATACTCAAAAATAGTCCGGCGCACATTCGGTCTGATGACAACCTGATGCTCAATATTTGCGCTACTTTTAATGACAAAATGTCCTTGTAAAATACTGAGGCAGTTAACTTAGCATCGCTCAGTGTTTACATTAAGTATTTGCACGTTTTTAGTTTGTTTTGTTTTTCTTGAAATTGAGATATCTCGTTTATGGTACAGCAGTTGGAGGATTTCTGATTTCATTTGCAGCAGAATCTTAATGAAAGAATGGCGAGGATTAACGCGGTTCATCTAATTACAAGTCTGATCCTTGTTCAACAGATACAAACACGTTTCAAAGAATCGCCATTTGGTGAGTCTCACACTTAAATATTCAATAATATGTGACACTTTTCTGGGTGATATTGTTTATCATACCATATGGTCTCGACTTGGGAAATATAGGTGCTGTGCTTTAAAGCACGTGGCACTGTCAAAAATCACATTCTGGTTTAGAAAACTATTTTGAATGAATTTGAACTTTCATGGATAAAACATTTAGTAATATATTTGTCAACAGATGTAACACATTTGTGATCTAAAGCCTCAAATCTTCAAAAAATATGAAGCTCTATCCACACCGTTTTTTTGTTTGTTTGTTTTTTTATATAGATTAATAATAACAATTCTTGGCACCATCATAAACTTTTTGGATTTTGCTCCCATTATTTGACATTTGCAGTGGTTGAAATCAGGGTCTTTAGGACTTTTAAAAAATTATTTATGTCAATTATATTTAGCTATATTGTTCCTGCAATTCTGAATAATTTTTCTATGAATAGCAGGGATATTTTCAAATATTTTTTACTGAAATATTTGATGTGTTTGATCGTATATTAGTTATCAGTTTTAATCATAATAAATATACCACAGAAATGCACCGTTGGTGAGGATCTTGGAAAATGTCAGTTTCCTGTTTGCTTATTTTCTGTTTGTTGAAATGGAAAATAAATGTACAGTGTTAAGTATCGAAATTTAATCAACTGGAAAAACATTAAGGAAAATAAATCAAATTTGAGTGAATTTTAATAATCTGTATTTTAATAATCTGTATTGTGCCATTATTGTTCAATACCATTAGACACCTCAGTCTGGTGTCTAATGTCTCCTACCTTTTTTTGAGGCAACTCATAAAAAAGGATAGGAGACATTAGCACTCAGTATGTTTTTCCTCCAGTACAAATACTCCCATCTCCACTGCTGTTCATGCAGATCGTTTGGCATGAGAGCACTGCCCTGGCCACACTTGGCTGCAGACGGGTGCTTATAGAACTTGGACCACAGGGTGACAGATATATAGACACAACACCCACCATTTACTTGCCTCACATGCCTGGTCCTGGATCTGCTGGTGTGAAGAATGTGAAGCATGTCTTCACTGTCCACTGTGAAGAGAAAGGATAGGATGCACACTTGTTAACGGTGGGGAGGAACGGTGATGGATGTTTATCACATGGCACCTGCTGAGGAACTGTTTATGTCCCAGAGTGTGATGGAGCGGATTGGTGTGTGTGTGGTGTGTATTTGCTTGCTTTTGTCTCTTTTTTTTCTCAATTTGAACAATGTTCAAGTGTCAAACTTGAGTATTCATGCTGACCATGTTTATCCCTTCATACAGCAGATCCATTTCCCAAAGGTTAATCCCAGCAGAATAATGTGTCACTATGCTACAAGTCACCTCAGACTGGTGTCTTGAACATAATAATCAGTTCACTCCACTCTAAAAACATCAAACAGTGCAGAACATTTTTGGAATGTGATGAAAATAATATTCGTATCATATTGCCATCGAATCTGAAGCAACAGCATTGTGTCATTATCCAGATATGGACCAACATCTCTGAGGAATGTTTCTCTCTATTTGTCACACGCAGAGGGACGATTGCATGCAGTCCCACATGATCTCCAGAACAGACACCAAAGGTCTAGGGATCCAGTTTTAGATCCAGATAAGAGCCATAGAGACCAACACAAGCCACTTTCTCAACTGCTGGCAGAGGAGGAAAAGGACAATTCCAGCCAGATTGTTGTAAGATTGTTTTACAGATGGATTTTAAAAAACAAATAAACTATACTAGCTTTTGTTGACTATTGAGGTTCCTGTTAAACCTGCATATAAAATTCTTGAACCACATCTTAATTTTTATCATTTGCTTTTGTAAAGTTGTAATGCACTCACAGAAAAGTTTACCCAGTCACTTTAAATTATGGCTTTTTTTCTTTTTGCATGTGTGGTTCGCATGTGCCAGTGGAAAAGGGCTTCAAGTAATCTTAGTGTTTGTGAACTTTTCAGAACCTAAAGTAATAAAAAGAAACCATATATATGTATAAACAATGCTATTTAGCAAATGTAAGTAATTTTGGTAGTCCTAAAAGTAGAATCTAAAATGTTTTTGTATTGATACATGTGTTGTTTATGTTAGTGTTTAGGGGTTTCTTAACTAGATTGACTAAAGAATAAAAATACTGAATTTTCTATTTGCTACTAAAGAATTGTTTGAGGAGGTGAAACAAATTAATTCAGCTGCATGATGTTGTAGGTTGTTGACCATGTCTACTATACTTCTAAACTCTACGGTCCTGGAGATGCACTAAGCCGATACCTTTGGGTGGATGTCAGTCAGACAGACGAGAAAAAGTGGAGAGTCCTCCAGTTTCTGTCCAGCTCACACAGACACGCAGAGGTATGAGATCATCAAATATTTACATATACAACCACAATACTAAAATCCAGCTAATTCCCAAATCAAAATTTCAATTTCAGAAACAGATAAAGATGTACTCAGTAGATATTTGCTTATAATGAATTCAACTCAAAGAATTTTCAGATTTTGAACCAAAATGAGAGTTCTGTGTTTCTGCTCTTTGTTTCTTCATGTCCTATGAGAATATAATCAATAATTTTACACTTTGCTTTTCAGAGAGTGAATCTTTCATTCATCTTTCCTTTTTATGGTCACCCACTTAAAGAAATCACAGTTGCTGCTGGAGGTGAGTCAAGTCATTACTTACATTTTTGTCCCTTAAATGTTGCACCTCAAATGATGTTTTATTATTAAAGTTGCTTAATATGTTGCAGTTGAGCAACATTTGCAGAAGTATGAAAGTATTTATATTTGATGATGAGCTCCTTTGCCCTAATTTAACAGATTCTTTGTCAGGTTTAGGTCAAGACTCTGGCTTGGCTTCTCCAAAATGTTAATATCAACAGAACAAACACGGCTTAAAAGACTATATTGAACCCAAATACATTTTGGCTTGATTGTAGATGATAGTAAATTTCTCCCAGTGACTCAGATCTAACTCCTTCTTCCAGGTTTCATTTACACTGGAGCTGTCATCCATCAGATGCTCACGGCCACTCAGTACATTGCTCCCTTGATGGCCAACTTCGACCCCAGCCTGTCCAAAAACTCCACTGTGTTATATTATGACAATGGTAGGTGAGATTTAGACATTCACATAATGTTATTAGTGGGTTCTCATTGGCCTCACCCTCGTCAGGAACTGCGCTGGTCGTTCAGTGGAGCCAAGTCCATCTCCAGGGCATCAGTTCAGGAACTTTCACCTTCCAGGCCACTTTGCACAGTGATGGACGGATTGTTTTTGCCTACAAAGAGGTGATGTGTTTGTCTATTTTGTTTTTACTTTCTTTTTACTATGAAGAACTTTAATTTAAGGAAGTCTTGTGCATTTAGATTCCCGTCGCCGTCAGTGACATCAGTTCTGAGAACCATCCTGTCAAAGTGGGCTTGTCGGATGCGTTCGTGGTGATTCATAACATAGAACAGATTCATAGTAAGACTGTGATTTGTTTCTCTGAAGGGAACTCAAATCAGTGCAACTTACAAATATATGCTTGTTCATATTGACAAATGAAACTGCAAAAAATAAATGGCTTTTAATGCTTAACATAACTTTTAATAGGAAACAAAAACTGTAAATTTATCATTTTGTTGTCCCTTTATTCTCTTATGCACTACTTTGTGAACTGA